AGTTGTCTGATAGTCGTCTGCGGACGTGGCATTTTATGTAGTGAGCTAAGGGGACATGCTTTCACACTTTTATTTTGCCGTGTATATACGATTCATAAAAAATCTAATTAATTTTGAACTCATTTGAAAGGATGAAGGCCTTGCACATGGGAGTTGTTTAACTATACTTCACCGCAACCACACCGTTCACCGTGCGTTCGTTGAGGTTTAGATACCACTAGCCACTGGTATTAACCAGGGCCAGAAATATAACTTGGCAGGTCAAGCTCATAGCATAATGCGCGAGCCACACACAGCCACACTGCCCGTATCTATAATCTATGGAATCCTAAAATCTCCAAGTAAAATTTAAATGTAAAATACCCACAGACAATTGAAAGCAGAATTCTCTAGAATTCGATGAGCAGTTTGAATTACCGTTTTGTAAAATATATGTTTTTCATTTGGGAATATTGCAGTAAAATGCTAATGACAAGGCTTGTATCATATTCAATCACTTCATTCCTTACTTGCATTTTGGTTCAAGTTATAAACTATAACATTCCTCTAAAGCCCTTCATATGTTTTATTTTGTTGCACTTTCTTGAAGGTGGGATTATAAAAAAAAATCGTTTATGATGCCCAGAACCACCAATACATTATAGCAGCATTTGACAGGTCAGAGATTTGTTCTCTCTTGTGAATTTTTTATCACTGTATCACTTCATCACAGTGACAAAACTCTCTAAAATACCGGGTTGGTAAACTGAAACCCATATCATCATCATCAGCAACAGCCATGGCCAATCCACTGCTGGATGAAGGCCTCCCTAAGTTGCTGCCACCATGTCTTGTCATTCAGCAATTGAATCATCCACCGAGCATTGGCACGTGGGCTGATCTCACAACTCCAAATGAAGCGTGCCACAAAATATCGAAAGATTATGTAACAAGTATTTAATTTAAAATTAGTGTTTAATTTTGGAGAATAGTTGGAAATTGCTGCACTCATTTTCAGTTTTTCACAAAGTGAATCAAATTCCCCAAGTGATGCCTGTACACTAATACATATTAATTGGTTATGAAATTGCTTAATTTGTAAATGCAGTTGCTCTGACATTTTGCAGTTATACAACTCTACTCTTTTTTTAAAGGAATATAAATTTCACTAATTTCACTCTTAGCTTATTAACAACTGATTTGAAACGTACTTGTTTTATAATTACCTGCCATCGTGTGGGTTTGGTCACTTCAGCACCGTCCTGAATGTTTATTGTGTATTCTGTCTTTGTCAGTGTGTAACCCTATCCAGCAGACACTATGACCTCCAGAAAGAAAAAGTGGTGTATATAGTCTATTCTATGCTTCCTGAGAGATTAAGTCAGAAGATAGATAGAAAGATAAACAAATACCGTTCACACACATCCAGCTGGTCCAGGCAATATAAATCTTTAAAAAAATAACAATATTATACTGTGGTTTTAAGCTCTCTGTGTTTGAATCAATGGTACTGCCAGTGGTGGAACAAAGGGGCGTGGGGGTGGTGGTGGGGGGGGGAGGCGGGAACGATGGGAGAATGCCCCCCACTACTCCCGAGACTCTGAAAATTGGTATTTTATTGATATTTACTGGAGGAAATACATTGCGTGTTTTATTATTATTAATGTAGGGCCCTATTTAAAAAGCTTGACATTTCAGGACTGCTCCCCCACCCACCCATCACCTGCCTCCCCTGGGAGTGATCTAGATCTAGATTCAATTCACCCCTGGGTACAGATCACGTGCAGTGTGCCTGCTGTTGTTTGTGGGGCTCGTGGCACGAGAGGCAACTGCTCCTAGGGCCAATGGCCCTCGCAGCTTTAGCTACCCCCACTTGGAATTTCATTGAGAGGCAGACACAAGGCCGTAGCCATGGAGTCAACATTGGGGGGGGGGACCAAATCTTCCAGGGTGTCTGGGGGTTCCAACCCAGAAAAAGATCTAAATTTGGAAACTAATTTCCTGCCTAAAATATTAAAAAATTCACTAACACATGGGATTGATTTTTTTTTTGCAATAATGTCCAATAGTGTATTGTATTACATTGCTCTGTTTTAACTTTTTTTACCATTTCTTGTTTCATTGTATGTAATGGCAGAGATTAGGGATTAATAAAGAACAGCCATAACCACAATCATATGAACAGAAATATACGCATTGATTTATGTGAAGACAGGTCCAGATATTGTGGCCAAGGTTCATCAAATTGTTGTTTTTATTTACATAGCATAGCTATTTTTAATAGCAATATTATTGGGGGGGGGACATTTTGTGCATATTTGAATATTTTTTGGGGGGGATGTGTCCCCCCCAATATATATTATAATTACGGCCTTGGGCGGACAGAGGAACAAGTGCGTTAGAGAACATCCGTGAGTTAATGATATAATTTATACTGTTAAGAAAAGTAAGTGGGCTTTGGGCATGACACGTCATTGATGGGGGGGGGGAATGATGCCCGAAGGTCAAGCATAGTTGGGGAAAATCGTTATTTAGACTGGAGGAATCCGATGAACTATGAAGCTCTTTTTCACAGATGTCCAGGAGATGGAGCGATTAAATTAGTTGTGTGCAGGTGCTGGGCAGATTGTCACATCGCTGGATTGTAAGGGATGGGGACAGCTTCGGGAGTCCCTCATCCAGCAGTGGATTGACCATGGCTGATAAAGATGGGAGTCTTAACCCTTTCTTTTTCAGGAGGGTTTTCCATTGCGATGTCATGTGGAATGACATTGCATTCTGGAGTAAATACATACGTGAGAGTAGATAATAATTCTGTTCCAGGTCTGTACCAGTCTGAACTGATCTGCACATCTTCTTGGTTCTTTCGGTAAAGTCACGTAGAAGGGAAGTAATAAAATGATAAAAATAAAACATAATACCGAAAGAACCAAGAAGATGAATCCCTGCAGTCACGAAAGCTTTAAATTGATCTGCACATAACTATGTATGCCTTCGTTACATTTCCCAGAAAAATCTCTGGCTCATGTATCGTGTCTGAGAACAAGTATTCTGGGCAACATTTATCATCACGGAAACTCACCGACTTAAAATAACACCGCCCACTTCCTTCCCACACCCTTGGGTTTGGAGGTTGTTACCAAGCACAAACAACAACAACAAATTCAACACGTTCCGTTCCAGATTTATGTATCTCTGTGATATCTGTCTCTACTTATATGTCTGTCTATATGTCTCTGGTTCTGTGTTTTATCTCTCTCTCAAATTTAGCATTCTCAGGAAGAACGTAATCAACCAGGTAGGGTGTTGACTGTTATGTTATCCGATGCTCTGTTGTATTACATTACATTTATAAGTATACTAGATTTGTGTTTCTATTTCATTTATACCTGATGATGATTGCTTGTGTTGCAATCGAAACAACGTATGCTAGTATTTAATTTATTATTTTTTCTTTATATGTGACTTTACCGAAAGAACCAAAGAGTAATTCATTGAGTCACGAAAGCTCCAAATTAAGTACGTCCCGTGTCAATAATGCTGTGACCTTAAAAGGAAAGATATATGATAGATGACGTTTCGGGCAATGGCTAGAGAAAATATCACTTTAATAAAGTTAGTTTGACTCGCTTTGCCCATGTAGGTCCGTGTTGAGTTAGCACAGTTGGCTATGCATGGTGTGAGATAAATTCAACAGACATAACATGTGTGTGCAAAACTAAATCTGCAATGGAATTAGATCCACTTTGTATCAATGGTGATCACACATCAGTCATGCTTCCGTGGCGTAAGGCTAACATAAATGACGTCACTCAATGCTTTGTGGTAGCAGCATGATGGGATGCCGCTGTGGTATTGTAATGGTTCGCACAATGGTTGCAATCCAGAGGTCACTGATTCATTTTTCCCGGCAAGGACGTTGAAACAGTGGGCGAGTTTCTTTAAACACTATGCACCGCTGACCACCGAACAGTATGAATGGGTACAGTGCAATTGTGTCAATCATCAAGTGTGTGTGGTGTGGTCAAGTGTGGGAACTCCGTCTGGCCAGCATGGAAGAGTAGGCCAATCGGGACTCTCTAAAACTCCTTCACATTCATGCCCTTCAGCCAGCAGTGGCATGAGCGGCAATTGCAGGATCATACCTGCAATAGTTTTTAATCTGGGCATGAGCGGCGCTCACCTTCAATCCATAATTTTAGAGGCATGAACTGGTGGATCACCCAGATCTGTGCTCCTCCTAAACCCTCTGGGCTGCAAGATGTCCAGAACGTGGTAGCATAACGTGAGGTCTAAACAACGCGCCTGTGTGGACCTTCGAGTGGTATCCCCCCCATATTCACGTTGTTTTCTCCCTGCACCGATGTTTCCTTCCACATGCAAACGCACTCCTTGCAATTGAATTGTCCAAACATCCCAATGCAGGTCGCCTTTGAGCAGCAGTTTTTAAAAATCCGTGAAGCTTTCTTAGGGTGGTACGGTGGATATCGTCATTCATTATGGAACCGGCGTTCGATGACCGGCCATGGATAACACCAGTCGCCAGTGATATCTGGACTGGTTCCGTGGCCCCTCCCATTACCAACCCACCAGTGATCAGTGTGGTCAAGTAATGAGTAATTTGCGGGTAGTTTTCAAATGTAACACATTTGGATCCTTAATGCCAGCAATACAATGGCCACTGTGAATCAGACGTGCGGCACCTTAGCATTATCGTGGTCATTGCACCCGCGGTGATAATCAGGGCGGCCGCTGAATTCGAGCCATGAGCCTTTGCAACGAGCGACCGACGGCACTACCGCGCTGGCCCATGTCACCGCCCAATTGCCCCCCGTGACATTTCAGCAGGCAACGTCCGTTTGAAAACGACAGCGCGCATTTACGGTGGCTTTGCGCTTTAAGAATGGCGCAGGCACCAAACGTGCTCGTGCGCAGTATTTGATTCGAGTACGCCCCTTCGGTCTCTGTAGCGCTCTCTCTTTGTGTGTTGTTGTCGTCGTCGTCGTATTTGTGTCGAGAAGGCATCCATTCCCGAGCAAGTTCAGCAGCTGCAGCACCCGAGACCTGGACAGCAGCCTGTCTAAGGGAGGCGGCATGTGTCTCTACAACATGCCGGACGTCCGGGACCTTTACGGAGGAAAGCGCTGCGGGAACGGCTACGTGGAAGATGGTGAACAGTGTGATTGTGGCGAGATTGAGGTGAGTACCCTTCTCAATGCAAAGCCGTTCATGTGGACACTTAACCTTCTAGAACAATTCAATTAATGGATGCATACGTACATGTCATGCAGATGTTGTGCATATTTGTATACACAATTCCACAATGTTTTATATTGCAAAACAGCTTATCTATCCGGGTTTTAGGTTTCGTACCAAACAAAAAAATGGATGTTGTGAGTGAAAAACTGTATGTAAATGCACTGATTGAGGGTGATAAATTGTCATGGAGTCTTGAGGTTAAAAACCAAAATTGCCGTGGCTTTGATCCTTGACCTGGGTGCATCTTCGTCCTGCAGGAGTGTGATAATCCCTGTTGCAATGCTAATAACTGCACCCTGAGGGCCGGCGCTGAATGTGCACACGGAATGTGCTGTCAAGATTGCCAGGTGAGTGGGTCTGCGAGTGCGTGTGTGTGTAGCAGCGGTACTGTAGTGGTTAGTGTGCTGCGCTACGAACCTGGCGAGCCGGGTTCCTATCGGTCCTGGGCCTCCCGTAGGTCGACTCGGACACAAATGAGTACGTGGTGCGGTGTGTAAATTTCACCACTCGGGAGACAAAGGCGGCCAGGTGTGGTGCTGGTCACCCACCCCCTTGTGTGCCATACAGGCCTTCATAGGTGCTCACTAAAAGCACTTGCTCCGACAGTTTGTTAAAGCTATATTGGGAGATCAATTTCTTTGGGTTGCAGCCGTCATGCGGACACACACTTAATAAGGTGGGAGAAAGCATTGAGAGCTACAGGAATGATGAATAAATAACTAAGCACGTGCTGTATAAGAAATTTAGAATTCTTCAAACCAATACCGCCAAACGAATGTGACCTATTTAGGGACTACGTGTATTTATTTATTTGGTTATTTATTCATGGTCCATTCCAGTGTTCGATATTGCGCATGCCACATTCACAATGTATTTTATACATTTGGGATGAAAAGTTACGAATAATAACTTAAACTTTCGCTGTGATTGTTTCACATAAATGTGCAGGCAATTTTTTTTTGTATGTACTACGGTCGGGGCTTGTATATATATGCACATGCCTTTGTGGCAAGGTGTGCTTTTATTACTTGCTGGTCTCCATGGAAACAAAGCTTCATAGCTCATCAGATTCCTCCAGCCTAAATCAATGTAATCTAAGCAGGTGTTGGTTATATCAGGACTGTGCTTATGGCACTTGTGCTTACATACACCTTCTGCTGTGTTGCATGTCCTAGTCTCGTGCACTTGCTGATCAAGAGCTCACTTTTTGCTGCATACACAGTCTCATACAATGCTCCTGGAAGTCAGGCATCCGTAACGGGGAAAACACATTTGAATAATGTTCAAATTGTGCATTCAATTTGGTGGCAATGCATTCCCTACGTCGTAGGTAACTATGGGTTACAGCACTGTGAATCAGACCGCCTATCCTGTTGGTTTTCACAAGTCATTCGTATCATGTCTGCTCATTGCTCACTTACTTGGTAATCCAGCCATAAGACTGCCCATACCTTTCATGTTTAACAATCCGAATGGGCGGTGTGCAGCGGCATGTTTCCTCCTCCTCAAACATGTTCACAGATATCCTCCCCCATTGTAGTCGTAGTCCGCACGCACGCCATCTTACAACAAAGAATAGTCCATGCGTGTAATGCCTAGCAACATCAAATAGACATCAAATCACTCCGAAAAACCGAATTAACCTAGACGGCCCACCTCTCATGAAATCTTAGAAGGCTAAGAAGGATGGATCCTGGTTAGTACCTGGACAGGGGGGGGGGGACCACCTGTGAGTGGCGGGTGTTGCTTTACCGGTTGGGTTATTAATATTAATTCAAATCTATAATTGCGCATTCCATCCTATGATCCCAATGCCCAATGCGTGAAAAGCAGGAAATAAAAACAGAGCCAGGGCAACCGACCAAACTAAAGAGGGAAGGCCACTTTATTAAGAGATGGGTTTTTCAAAGCAGACTTGAATCTATCTACCGACTCCGAATGCCTGATTTTAAGTGACAAGGCGTCCCAATAGTTTGGGTGCCAAGCTAACAAAAGCCCGATCGCCAAAAAGAGCGCAACCTAGAGACCTGAGAGTGCTGAGCAGTTGGAAATCAGAACATCTTAAGGGCCTTGGTGGAATATAAAAATGTATTAGTTGTTGGCTTATTCATAGGCTAATCAACACATTATGCATGCACACCATGCCTGTACATCCTGCTGATTTTGGGTGCAAGGTGTTGCATGTTCCTGCACCCCCCCTCCCCCACCTTAACTCCAGTTTCAAACATTTTGGACACAAAACGTAATGACACATGATAACTGTGCCAAAAGGTGTACATGTATATGTGTGTTTATTGTCACAAGTATTGTTGGTTTGACACGTTCATTTTTAACAACTTAATTCTGCTGGCTAAAGTGCACGTGTTTGTTGAAACGCTTGACCAAGAAAATGTCAGTGCACAGCAATAGATTATTGAATCTATCTGTGCGAAGCTTTTGAGCATTGCTGCCTCGTGCGTGCAGATTGGCTCCGGGTATTTTGGTTTGAAATTAACTTAGTTGTATTCATGTCTTTTTAACCAACTCTTAATCATTTTTTTGTCTCTTTAAGTTTTGGTCATAAAACTAAATACCAACGTTTTAAGTACGAAACACAAATGACAGAAAAGTAATTAATGAATACAGTATGATCTTTGCATTGTATAACAATTTTTCAATCGTGATTACTCTGCTTTTAACGCGCATATCTGAAACTTGGATAATTACACCATGAACCTTTTTTGGTTGTGAGATTCAAAAGAACAGCAATTATTTATTGCGACATTTTATACCTCCATTCAATTTGCAATGATGAATGTGTCCATTTTGTCTTGGAATATATTATTCATTAGTATTGTAGGTGGTTTCATTTTAGTGTTTTCTGGAAAAGTTATAAATAACATATTCGTAGGGTATTTTGTGTGTATTTTAAAAAATAAATATACAACACTTTCCAATTCCTATTCAAGCATTAAAGCTTACCATCACCCACACTTCAGTTTTGCATCGTTACAAAACGCAAAATCTTTTTTCCAATAAACTCTGCCCGTGGCGCTTTCTTATGTACCTCATTACCTCTACCGCATCTGCCCCTGCTTCAAGAATCATTATTCTAGACTGCATTCGATCGCCTTAAGTGAGAAAAGGGTCATACGACGGTTATGTTTGTTGCTCTTTGTGAGTTCTATTTAATGACATCAATTTAATGACATCACATGGGGAGGGTGTCCGGGGGATGGAGAACCACTCACGTGTGACCACCCCACGGCCATTTCCTCAGTGACTGACCAACCGAGACCACTGCAGGGGTCACGAAACAGAGACGCATGTACGTATGTTGAACTTCTTACGTGCCATACGTAGCCAGCAGTATTCATCGGAGGTGCAGGGGGAAGGAAAACAAACTAAACGAGCACAAAAATTAGTTCTAAAGAAGTGAGTTTTCAATTTAGATCTCAAAGAGCATCGCTGCCAGTGGCTTGCTAATAAATGACTGACACCATACTCTTTGGTATTTTCGGTAAAGTCACGTAGGTATAAAATAAAATAAATGAAAACAACTAAATTATTTTATTTTTTACCTACATGACACTACCGAAAAAACCAAAGAGTATGAATCCTTTCAGTCACGAAAGCTTCAAATCTAGAATGACTGACACCAGCGAGAAACAAGAAATGGGTTCTGATATTACCCCATTTTTAAAATATCCTTTTCTTTTTCAAGAACATACAGCAACACGGGTCAATGCTAGTTATCCCCCCCTCCCCCCACCTTCCTCCCACATTTCCCTCCCCATTTAGGGGTCCCAGTTGTCTAATGAGCCTGCATGGGTAACCTGACCCACTATATCATTCCGACTGTCGCTGCCTGCCATGTGACCTGCAATGCCACCGCACTTCTGAGTCTCTATTTTCCCATCTTGTCATGAAGAGACAGACGCCTTCTAGGCATCCACTCTACGTCCGTCCTTGTGGAAGAGGTACGTAGATGACACGTTTGTCATCTGGCCACATGGCCGACCAGCTCTGAACCAATTCCTCAACCACATCAATTCCATACACCCAGCCATCAAATTCACCATGGAGGTGAAGAGGATGGCAAGCTACCATTCTTGGATCTTTTAATCGAAAAGAGACCAAATGGCTCAATGGGACACTGTCTACTGGAAAGCCACCCATACGGATGCCTATCTAAAACCTGACTCCCACCACCATCCATCCCAGAAGAATTCCCTCATCAAAACGGTACACCATAGAGCTTGATGTATTTCCGACCATCATCACCCAGCCAGTGAACTGGAACAAGTACACCAAGCTCTCAAGATGAATGGATATTCCGACCACACAAACCGTAATGCTATAACCCCAACCGTTGGGAAAGAACCATCTGAAGACCCATTTTCAAAATCATCAACTTTCCATACATAGCAGGGGTCACCAAAAAGATTTCCAAAATCATGAGCAAACACAAGATCCAGGTTCGATTTAACACAGTACATAAAATTATTGATCTGATCCCATCTGTGAAGGATGTGATCCCTGATATGCAATACCCCGGCGTCTACAAACTAAGCTGTCTGTGGTATTGGGGAAACTAAGCGACACGTCTCGGACCGTGTTTATGAACATAAGGCATAACTGAAACACGGTAGCACCAATACCTCGGCCATGACTGATCATTGTTTTAATGCGGTGGGCTCACACAAAATGTATTTCTCTAAGACGAATGTACTTTGCAAACCCACTGACTATCAACAAATATTCGTTCATTAAGCCATCCATATATATAGACACAGGCACAATTTCAACAGAGAAGATGGGTACAAACTTAGCAATCGCTGGAAAGACGTTATCAACCTGTTTAAGTCATAACTGGCTGTGATGGTTCCATTCTACCACCTTCAGATGTTAGCCACCTCAGCGCGCTCGCCGTGGAGGCCGCTCACCGATCTTACATTAACATGCAAATGTTTTACCTGGCAGCCCCTTAATTGGTGGAAACCCACCAATCTCGCGGTTGCCGCCCACCACCCACATTAACATTAGTTGCCCCACCCACCACTCACATTAACATTAGCTGCCCCGCCCACCACTTACATTAACATGAGCTGCCCCGCCCACCACTTACATTAACATGAGCTGCCCCGCCCACCACTCACATTAACATGAGCTGCCCCGCCCACCACTCACATTAACATGAGCTGCCCCGCCCACCACTCACATTAACATGAGCTGCCCCGCCCACCACTCACATTAACATTAGCTGCCCCGCCCACCACTCACATTAACATTAGCTGCCCCGCCCACCACTCACATTAACATTAGCTGCCCCGCCCACCACTCACATTAACATGAGCTGCCCCGCCCA